GCCTAATCATTTACAAGCTTTTATAACTTATGAATTTTGCAATTAAAATGCAGGAGTATTATTTAAATCTTCGTGATGGCCATCACAACATCCCCCTCTTCAAAGGTCAGGTCCCCTGACCTATAAATCTGCCTCCAGACGAAGACCGATCCTCTCTGCCTCAATGCAGTGAACAACTCTGTTGGTGTCGGTGGTCCTGTGGCACTGGGCAGCTTGGTACATCAGGATCGTGGCTCTGGCAGTCTGACCACAGATCCTTCCTTGTGAGATGTCTAGCAAGGTACGATAGTTGTACAGCCGCGACTTTCTGGAGGGTGAATGGTCTTCAGTGTTTAGAGCTGTGCCAGGAAGAGCGAGCATATTCCACTTGTCGTGGAGGAGACTTCTGTCCATCCTTGGGATCCGTCCTTGTAGGCCTTCCTCGAGAGTCATTGCCGCGAATTCCCACTGGAGGAGTCTCTGGTCAGGGCTGAGGGTCTCCCAGCTCCTAGGAGGCCAAGTGATGTTTCTGTTGCCAGCGGGGAGACGGATGATGTGATTCGTCCAGTCTCTTCTAGCTGGTGGCAAGAGTGGCATGCAGCCGACAGACAGAATCTTTCTAGCTTCCCTCGACGTATCTTCTTCTCTGGACCTCCTGGGAGAGCTGGCTCGTTGGTGGCCTGTACCCTCAACTCTTCTAGGAAACTTGGAAGAAACCTTCAGCGGGGACTTGCTGGCATTCCTAGATCTTTTCTGCTGTCTCTCTGGGGTTCTCGTCTCCCGAGACTTTGGTGACATTCTCGATGCGAATGGAGAGGTCCAGTGCGTGACATTGTTGATTAGGCTTTTCTTTATACCAAGAAGCGATGCCAAAGTGGCTCTTCTTGTCTCCAACTGGCCTCCCTCCAATTGCTTGCCCTGTCCACTGGGTCGAGGAACGGGTTCAGCCCTTCCAAGAGTCCTCATCCGTCTAGTGAGATTATCGAACGACTTAGCATCCATGATCGCCTCTTCAGAAATGCAGGCCTCATAAACGAATCCACCTCCAGGCGTGAAGAACATGGCCGTGGCATTGCTACTCTGGAGGGTGATGTTCTTCAGCTCGAGCTGGGTTGACGCATCACACTGGCTGCTAAGGGGATTGTATTCCATGGTTGGTGTTTCCTCCTCCTGTCCGATGCTAATGTCGCCCTCTGTGATGATGGACAAGACATCGTCTAGAGCTTCAGATGACTCAGCAGGTACAGCCTTGATGGTGTTAGTCTTCAGGTTTTCCCAACCCTCTTCCCATTCCTCCTCAGTCCTCAGTGCACCTCCTTGGGTGGATGCCCAAAGGAGGACCATTTCCTGCGTGGAACATGACAGAGGTGTATTCCAAGCTGGAGCAGGCACCACCCTCTTGTAAACTGTCGGGTTAAGTGAGAACCAAGCAGCATTGCTCTCCGATGAGAAGTCGGGATCCAAGTCCAGCAGTTGAACTTTATGCTTGGCTTCACAATGTCGCTTCCACTCCGATACCCTGCAAAGGTCTGGAACACTGGGCATAGGATGCAGGCAACCTTTAGCTTGCGATGAGGTGCAGCGGCAAAATGGTTCTTCAGTTCCTTCTTCGTTGGGAATGACTTGTCACATGCTCCAATTCCACATGCATACTTGCTTGCCATACTTGCTTGAATTAGGTAGTGTATTCTGTAACACAAATGTTTTCTTTTAGGATGTCCCATACACCCAATAAAGCAGCATACAATTCTGTCTTAAATGCCATCACATTCAATTACACTAAAGTTTATGTTGTAAGGTCAACTCTACAACCCTGACTCTGGTTTGCATGGATCCCTAATAAATGTTAAGCATCACAGGACACATCACAGCTTCAATCTCTACGTGGGTCACCTACATCCGTTCTGTGTACTCCATTCTCATACGATGCCCAGATCAAATGCCACGGAAAGAACAGTAAACAACATCAAGTCAGCAGGTTCCAGGGTGATCAGGCCTAGTCTTACTGTGTTACGTGATGGATCCATCGTCGTCCGCTGCAGCACTTTCATCAACATGTTCTTCCTGCTTGCAGATATCTGGCGCTGTATGATGACACAAGTTAAGGTTCCACCCTTAGAAGTTTTAAGTCCTAGTACAGCTCCCTACGACTTATTAGAGCAATCCATGCAAGAAATGACTTCATCACATCAGTTCAAGATTCTTCTTCAGGACACAACTTGTTCCATCCAACTATATATTTACATGTTAATAAAACACCAACATTGTTAACAATAAAGATAAACTTCTGAACTTTTCCAAAAAGTGTTGAGACAGATTCTCAAGGGCCAATCTACTGGTTTCTTGAAATTGACTGCTGACATCTTTTGATCCAAGAGGGAAGGTTCCTCCCTCTGTAGAGTAGCAGCCGGTCCACATGGAACACCTTGGAAGGTTGCTTGAGGGACCTTCTCACAAGGTAGGTGACATCGTCTATCCTTTTCTCTATGAGATAGGGTCCTTTCCAACTTGAAGTGAGCTTCTGGCAGACGCCACGTTTCCGGACAGGGTTGTGGAGCCATGCAGCTTGTCCCTCTTTAAGACTTCGTCCCTTGGTCTTGAGATCATAGTTCTTTTTTCCTATATTCTGCTGTTTGTTTCAGGGATCTTCTGCCAGCTTCATGAGCTTGTTTCAGTTTATCTTCCAATGTTAAGAGATAACTTTCAACATCAGACTGATCGCTAAGTTCTTCTGGCCTCCCAATGACTGCTTGCATGGGTAGGACTATCTCCCTCCCAAAGACCATTTTGTTGGGTGAGCGCCCTGTGCTGGAATGCACCGAAGCTCTGTAAGCCATCATAACTTGAGGCAAGTACTCGTCCCAACGCTTTTGATCCTTCTCACAATACATTGTCAGCATCTGTGCAAGAGTTTTATTGAACCTTTCCACAGCTCCATTTGATTGTGGCCTGTAGCTAGTGGTCCTGGTCTTTTGGATCTGCAAAAAAGTCGCAGATGTCTTTGAAAAGCTTAGACTCAAATGTGGAGCCTTGATCAGTGTGTATTTGCATTGGCACACCAAATCTACTAATGAAAACATCTACAAGCGCTTTAGCAACTGTGACAGCTTCTTGGTTTGGAATGGCAACAGCTTCAGCCCACTTAGTGAAACAATCACTTATGACAAGGATGAAGCGGTGTCTTTATTTTGTCAAGGGGAGAGGTCCTAGGATGTCCATAGCAACTCGCTCCATGGGCTCACCCACTATGTATTCTCCTAAAGGGGCCTTAAGAGGTCCCTTGAGCTGTTTCTTTGCTGTGCAACGATCACATGTCTGACAGTAATTCCCTACTTCAGCCTTGAGTCCTGGCCAGTAGAAAGAGAACTTGACTTTCTCTAGAGTTTTCTCTCTGCCTAGGTGTGCACCAGATGGACTGTCATGATAGTACTTCAAGACATCATCTTTCAAGCTTTAGGGGACAATCAACTGCAACCTGGATTCGTCATCCTCAAACCATGTGCGATATAGCACTCCAGAGTGAACATTTAGCCGATCCCAATGTCTCCAAAGAGTCTTGACTATGGATGACTTATGTGAGATTTCCTTCCACTCTGGCTTTGCTCCTGCTTCTTTGGCAGCAAGGAGAATGCCAATGTTTTCATCAGCTAACTGCTTCTGCCTGATTTCTGGGAGCGTCCATCCTTCGAGTGAAATTGACGGCTCAGAAGGTTGATTCATCTGACTCCTTGTGACCGCTCGGTTGACTGCAGTAAAACTACTCACTTGCAGTCTACTGTCATCTGTGACCATTTGTCTTCCCTCTTCATCCGAAGAGTCTTCCACTTCCTGTTCTTGTTCCTGTCTGAGGCAGGCTTTACAGGGGTTCCTTGACAGAGCATCAGCATTTAGATGCTTCCTACCTTGCCTGTGGATAACTGCAAGGTTGTAGCTCCCTAGTTCTTCAAGCCACCTTGCCACTTGTCCTGTTGGCTTCTTCAGGTTGCGCATCCAGCTGACAGCTGCATTATCCGTTCTGATTAAGACCTCCTGCCCATATAAGTACGAATGGAAGTGCTTAAGAGCATTCACCACGGCAAGGAGTTCCTTGCGAGTGACACAGTACTTTCTTTCATGACAGTTCAAGGACTTGCTCATGTAGGCAATGACCCTCTCTGCTCCATCCTGCTCTTGTGAGAGTACAGCTCCTGTTGCTTTGTCGCTTGCATCCGTGTCTAAAATGAATTTGGTTCCAGGAATGGGGTACGACAAAATCGGTGCTGAAGTCAGTGCTTCCTTCAAGTGTTGGAAAGCTTTCGAACACTCTTCTGTCCAGGTAAATGTTACCTTCTTTTCTACTAGTTGGTACAATGGCTTGGCTATTTGGGCAAATTTCTCCACAAATTTCCTGTAATAGGAACATAGGCCAAGGAAACTTCTTATCTGCTTGGTTGTATTTGGCACTGGCCAGTTCTGTACAGCAGCTATTTTTTCAGGATCTGTTTCTATGCCCTTCTCAGACACTATGTGACCTAGGAATCTCACTCGTTTCTGGAAGAAGATGCACTTTGATGGTTTCAGCTTCAAACCGGCCTGCTGTAGTCGTTCAAAGACACGTTCCAACCTCTGCAAAGCTTGTGGCACACTCATGGCACCAACAATAATGTCGTCTATGAAGAGTAGACACTCTTCCCATTGCAGACCTCGAAGCACTTGTTCCATGAGTCTCTCAAAAGTCGATGGTGCATTTGCCAGTCCAAATGGCATCACCGTAAAGTGATAGAGTCCAAGTCCGGTCGTGAATGCAGTTTTCTTCCTTGTCTTCATCTGCCATACCAATCTGCCAGAATCCTGAGTTTAAGTCCATCGTGCTGAACCATTTTGAATTTGCTAAGGCATCAAGGCAATCATCAGTCCTTGGTAGAGGGTATGCGTCCTTAACAGTGACATCATTCAAATGGCGATAATCTGTACAAAAGCGCATAGTTCCGTCTTTTTTGCTCACAAGGACCACAGGAGATGCCCAGGCACTAGTTGAAGGTTCAATTACTCCCCGTTCCAGCATCTTCTGGATCTCTTCTTTTTTCAATTTCCCGTTTTCCTAAGGGTTGCCTGCGTGGAGGTTGCCTAATAGGACAGGCTGTCCCAGTGTTGATGCGGTGTTCCACTTGTGAGGTTCTACCAAGGTCAGCTGATGAAGTTGCAAAGACTTGTTGGTATTTCGCAAGAAGAATTGCCAAATCTGCACTCTCATCAATGGAGAGATGCTTGGAGCTTCTTTGCCAAAGGTCCTTGAGGTGCCCAGGCAGGTGTGTAGACTGTGAATTTGAAGCATCCGCATTGGCATCGCAGTAGACTGAAGCACATCTGTCATGTACACCCTCATGAATATACAGCGACTCGGCTAATCCCAAAACCATGTTACAATGGTGCTTTACTTCATCAGGACTGAAGTTGAGGACATTTATTTTCTGGACCTCTTCAGATGTATCTATTATGCAATCAGGTATATTTAATCCTGGTGGAAGATCCCTTTTCCCCGCTATCATACCAACTGGGGCAAGTTTATTTGCTCTGGGTATCTTCATGATGATCCAGGCTCCAGAATGAGGTGGAATAACTGTGGTCTCACTCACTTCAACACGGCAGCTCATTTCAGCTTCAGATGCAATCCAACAGCTTAATGAAGAATTCCTTGAATTTAGTTTCAGACGTTTGTAGTCGATGGCACTCACATGTTTCAAAAGGAAATCTTGACCCAGTATTGCATCTGGAAAAACTTCACACACAAAGATAGGATGTGTGTATTTGTGTCCATCAAGAATAATGTCCATGACAGCATGCCCTTCAACCTTTAAACCTGCTCCATTGACTCCTGTAACTTTGATGGCCCCTTGCTGCAGAAATGGAGCGTCATCCAACTTGATCTTGTCAAAGATCCTCTTTGATAAAATTGTCATGGTTGACCCACTGTCAATAAGGACATTTGCTTCTACACCATACAGAACACCTCGAATATAGAATCCATTATCCCACCCCCCTTGAGAGTTTCCAGTCAATCCAACTCGGATACCAGTATCTTCAGGCCTTGGATTTCCTGTCTCCCCATGGCCTACTGAGTCGACAGGAAGGCATATCCCTGCATCCTACCAGTCCCAACATTAAATGTGGACATCTCTTCTTGGCATCTTTTGTATATCGGGCAGTCTTTCATAAAGTGTTCCCTTGATTTGCAGATGAAACAAGTCCGTTGACTTTGAGGTCGATCATTTCTCTTTTCATATCTGAAGTTGTTACCCTTTTCCAACTTCTCTAACCTCGCCATGATCTTGTTCAGTACACAATCACCCTGAATCACAATCTCTTGGCTTTGGTGTGCTTCCATGTTGCATAGCAGCAAGTTCTCCTTGATTTCTATCCCCTACTGCCCTGACTTGTCTCTTCTTTTCTCGGTGGTCACCAACTAATGCTTCAAACCTTTCAATGACTTCCACGGCTTCTGAAAGTGTCCTGCATCCTCTATCAATGCAATGAAACTTGAGCTATGGTGAAACGGTTTTATACAGCTGATTAAGGGCAATAGCTTCCTGTGCTCTGCTATCCAAGTTTACATATGCCCTTTGGGTCATCTGTCTCAGGTCATCGGCCAGAGCTGCAACTGATTCTGCAGTCTGCCTCTGTCTGACTTCTAGTCTTGAAAGCCATAAGCTCTGTTGTCTCTCACTCCCAAACCGGTGATTGAGATTCCTAACAAGCATATGCAGTGACCTCTTCTGATGTGGTGCCAGTCCCATGTAGAACGTCCTGGCAACCCCCTTCAGGCTGGCAGCAAGCACTAAGAGTTGCTGGTCCGTGGGCCAGTCACCTAGTTCTGCACAATTCCTGAAATGGGACAGGTACTCTTCCCAGTCTGTTGTCCCATCATAGAAATCTGGTCTAATTGTGAAGGGTGCCCTTCTTCTTGGTATGGCCATTGGCCTTCTTGGTGTTATATCACTTCTGTGGCGTACCCTTATGTCTCCACTGGAATTGCTTGGCTCTTCATCAATTGATTCAGCCTCTTCAATAACTTCATCAAGTATCTCCTCCTCAAAAGAGATGTCCCCTTGTCCCTCTTGTGTTGCAGTTTGCTGACATTTGTCAAAAGAAACTTCAGCGTCTGGAGATACTGTAGCCATCTTGTCACTGGTCCTTACTGTGAGTCCTTTGGTTCGTATCAAGGATGTTTAAATATATAAACATCCCACTTCTGACACCAGTTTGTGGCGGCCGGGACTCACACTTCAATTAAACCTTGTCAGTCTTGTTTTCAGGAAGAGTCAAACACTTCTTTTCAATGAATAAATAGCTTTTTATTCATGGGTATAAATGTACTTCAGCACAATGCTATTTCTAATAAGTAGATCCCTCTCAAGCTTAAGGTTTATGTGCATGGACCAGTGTTAGGTCCTGTGCATAGAGCCTCAGGTCACAAATATGTTGAATTTAAGCAACGTTGAGCGCGGAGAGTTCTTTGATGGGTGAGTGAGTGAGTGAGTTAATATTTAACATTCGATATTGAAATGAAATATATGTATATTATAAAAAACCTGCCGACGAAGGGCAGTAAAACAACTAGAATATCACAGATATACATGTAAAACTAGCAATAGAGTCTAAAACATTTTAACTATAGGGGACAACACAATATAAAAATGGGCTATAGATCGCCACCGACTGAAGGTAGATCACCATACCAGTGTGGCGGCCGGGACTCACACTTCAATTAAACCTTGTCAGTCTTGTTTTCAGGAAGAGTCAAACACTTCTTTTCAATGAATAAATAGCTTTTTATTCATGGGTATAAATGTACTTCAGCACAATGCTATTTCTAATAAGTAGATCCCTCTCAAGCTTAAGGTTTATGTGCATGGACCAGTGTTAGGGCAATATAAGTATGACCTTTGACTTTACTGTTATATAGATATAGTGATGGCTTAATTATCTGGGTAATCTGAATAACTTGATAGTTACTAAGATATTAATTTGCGTCTGTGTTCGAAAAGTGCAGTCTATCTATAGCATCAGCTATTATAATTATGTAAGGACAAGGGGAACTTTTGGGCTGAATTATCTGCCCTTGGTTTGAAACTGACCTGTAGACTGCCAAAGTCAGAATGACCCAACATGGGTCTCACCGTATTTATAGGTGTGAGAAAATGGTCACATGTCAGTTCTAGACCAATCAAATTACGAGATATTACGTCCCGTTACGTCCTTATTATTTTGAGGGATCTACTTTCACAACATGAAACCACTGAAATAAAGAGGAAGGCGAATTATCTCAGGAGGTAATCAGGTAGGAAAATGACTATTTTTACCAACCAATTAATTATGTGTAATTAATTCATTAATTGCCTTCCAATGTCATAAGATCAACAATTGCGTCTCTCTACGTCTTGCTACGTCCTTGCTGCCTGCTGAGGGGACGTAATATCAACAAGTAGCATCGGCTGGGAATTATGATGGACAATTCAAAGAGGAAGATTACAGATGTCAGGAGGCAATTGGAGTTTATCTGACACATAAGATGTTTAAAAACATGACTCAGCCCCTTATACAATTTGACAGTGGCACTGGAAGTCATATTTATGAAAAACACGTTCATAAATAATGATGCTGAACATCGCGTATGAATACAACAGTGAGAATCACATAGTTCCCGTTGTCAGAATTAACATCGGCTTTGAAACATGACCTGATACATCATCAAGTACAATTCTGGGTTCCTCTACGTAATTCACAAGATTACATAAACTTTACAATGCAAAACACTAAGCTGAGTCAAAAGTAGCGGTAACCCCGTTGCGAAATAGACTGGCTGTCACAAAGTTAAAATGGCGGGCGTCACCAAAACATGACAATGTAGCTCGGCCCTGATCACAAATTCACCAAAGAATGGATAATTAACGAGTGTCAAGGGATTATGATCAGTTTGTCGAAGGACAAGGTAAGATTAATCCATATCGGATAGTTAGTTTTCGTAACTGGACGCTTAGAGCGAGGAAATGTCAAAAAGTTACGGTCAATTCAAAAACTCTTGAAAAGGTAAACAAGATCGTTCTGACAGGAGACGTTGTTGACATTGACTCTTACAAAGTACAACTGTGTTCTAAACAAATAGCGTAATGTGATGGCACTAGCTTATGATGTTTTACGAATGCAATACATGTTATAATGCTCAAAACAACATGCTACGATCTTTTGCTAGATTTCTTACCAAAACAGATTTCAAAACACTGAATTAAGTGAAAACGAGGTTGCCAATAATACTCGTATATAGCTGCAAAACTAATTACACGATAATTATAATAACAATTTCTGCACTGCCATAAACTATCAAAAATACAGATGGGAAATACCTAACAGATATGTCATGATGCCTAATCATTTACAAGCTTTTATAACTTATGAATTTTGTAATTAAAATGCAGGAGTATTATTTAAATCTTCGTGATGGCCATCACAACAGGGACCATGGGGACTTACATTACTTTTGCTACCTGCATGGACCCTAGTTGGATTTACACCATCCCTTCAGCCATTGGCGACAGAAGAGAAATCTAGCCATAAATTAAAAGCACACATATTCTACGATTAAAAACCTGGTATACTTAAATTGACTAAATGTTTCGGGACTTACGTACCCTCTCAGGAGGACAATAATTTTACGCTACTTCAACCCCCTTTGAGGGTACAGCCACTAACAATCTCAGTTACTAATTTAAATTACCAATAATAAAATATTTATCTATTTACAAATCAGTTAACAAATCTAATGCTTTTAAAAATGCAATAATTAAATGAGAACTTATATTAGTAAAAAGATCCGTCATAGTTCGGGATTTGAAATAGACATCCCTTGTGATGGAGTACTCAACACAGTCAAGCAAGACATGCTTGACCGTGATTCGTTCATCACAAGGGATACAAACCGGAGGATCCTCACCTTTTAATAGGTACTCATGCGTATATCTCGTGTGGCCAATACGACATCGTCGTATGATGACCTCTTCAAATCTGGACTGACAACCGAAGTAAGTGTAACCGATAGTTGGTTTGATTGCATGTAATTTATTGATACCTACTTGGGCATCCCACTTCTTTTGCATCAGATCACGGATGTAAGTTCTAATGCTAGCTTTGTAATCAGAGTATGGGAGCAGAAGTGGTGTCACAGATTTGTTGAGTGCTGCCTTAGCAGCAATATCAGCCATTGTGTTCCCAGAAATGCCAACGTGGCTGGGTAACCAACAAAAGACGATGTCGCATTGGCCAGTAGCAAGTTCATTGTACAATTCAATAATTTCTAATAAAAGTGGATGTTTGCAAGAAAGATTTTTAATAGCCTGAAGACAAGAAAGAGAATCTGAAAAGATGATATATTGTTTATATTTACGGTGTTTATTAATATATTTAAGAGCTGTTAGTATTGCGTTTGCTTCTGCTGTGAAAATTGAACTGTCATTGGGTAATCTGGAAGATATTGTTTCAGACCCAATGACAGTGGCACAAGCAACCGCGCCACCATCCTTGGATCCATCTGTATATAAGGATTAATATGTATTATATTTATTTCTTAATTGACTAAATTCTTGTTTATACTGTAAATCATTAGTTTCGGATTTTTTAAATGTGGTTAATGTTAAGTCAACGTCTGGCCTCACCAATTGCCAGGGAGGAGAAGAAAGAAGACGAGAAGGAGATATATTCTCCAGCTCAATGCCAGCAGCAGAAAGGAATGGTTTAATTCTGTGCCCAAGAGGCGGAACAAGAGAAGGCTTTTTGTTATACAAATCCTCATAAAGAGGATTGAAGACACAGTTAAATGCAGGGTTAGACTCGTTAGAATATAGTTTGGTAATATATTGTAAAGATAATTTAATACGGCGTTGGGAAAGAGAAGGCTCATCTGCCTCAA